AACACAATAAAAAAATTAAAAAGATTAGTCTACAATTAAAATTAAATAAATGAAAGCCAAAAGACAAAAGGAAGTGCAAATGGAGTTTTGGTTTTCAATGCCGGGGACAACTCGGCGGGTCGAATCAGGCAAGCAGCAGCGGCAGCACTGGTGGCAACGCAGGCAGCACCAGTGGCAATGCAGCACCGACGGCAAGGTAAAATCAGTGCAACGATGAAGTTCTAGAGATGGAGATTCTGCCGTCGCCGGAGAAGATGAACAACTAATTTTAAAATTCTTAATTATCATCCATAATCTCAAAAGAATTTAGTTTCTAAAATCGTTCAAGATCGCACAATCTCACGATCTCATGGTTTTGTGCGCGATTTTCGATGGATTCTTCAAGACCCACGATTTTTGTCCGATTCAGATCATTGAAGCCCCTTAACATTGTAAAATCGTGCGATCTTAGGATTTAGATCACGATTTTAACAACCATGATAATAAGTGCACCGTTCTAGAGCATAAACGAGACCTGATCCGAAATGCAGAGCCATTGCCATTTAGATGCAAGCAGGGTAGGCCGAAGGTGAATAGGAGGAAGGGTGATAATGAAACCAGAAAGGTGAAGGTGGGACAGCTAGATATTTTCAAACCAGTCAGCGGTGGGATCCACAAATAAAATTGGTAGCAGGTAGACTTCCCGCTCATGGGGTTCCAAGTTGGCATGTAAGTTGTCAAAAAACTCTGAGTTGGCGCGACATGTGCATACTAGACGGAGGCCAACGGTGCACGTGCTACACGTGACGCTCCGGCGTTAAATTTTACCTCATTTCCTCAAACTTGAAAATATTAAGGGTAAAAATCTGTGTATTGTAATATGAAAGGTAAAAACCCTCAAATTCAAAAAGTTAAAGGGCAAACGGATACTTTTTGCCGAATGTTTGCAAGCCAAAGTGGTTAACCTTAACAAAAAAAATGAATTTTATTTGCTTGTGACTCCGAAAGAGCATTACGTAACATTATCTCTAATAACCTTCAACTTATACGTTCGTGGTTTTGCAACGATATTACTCCATACCATCGTAAGATAATTTCAGGTAAACAATCGATGGTTTTGTGGTTCCAAGGGACTGTAGGGTCGATGTAAATGCAATTGGTTTTTGCAGGAATGGATTTAGGACACGAGAAGATGGTGATGTCCTTAAATGAAAAGAATAACAATGTGCACTAGGAGAAGTTTCTGGATTTTTTCTAGTATATTCGGACCAAAATCGGTCTGAAAAATGAAAAGCATGGAAGCTTCTAGATTCTTTGCATTTATTCAGACCAAATCCGGTCCGTATATATATTCATACTTAATTTAATTTAGCATTAGGATTGAAAATCCCTCGGAGTGCCTATATTCGGACCGATACCGGTTCGGTATCAGTCGAATATACACCTGAATAGCAGCTTTTTATTTTTTTTGTTATTTCATGCTTGAGTCGTTCTACTCTCATTTTAAACCATAACATTCCGAATGTTTGCAAGCCAAAGTGGTTAACCTTAACAAAAAAAAATGAATTTTATTTGCTTGTGACTCCGAAAGAGCATTACGTAACATTATCTCTAATAACCTTTAACTTAGACGTTCATGGTTTTGCAACGATATTACTCTGTACCATCGTAAGATAATTTCAGGTAGACAATCGATGGTTTTGTGGTTCCAAGGGATTGTAGGGTCGATGTAAATGCAATTGGTTTTCACAGGAATGGATTTAGGACACGAGAAGATGGTGATGTCTTTAAATGAAAAGAATAAAAATGTGCACTGGGAGAAGTTTCTGGATTTTTTCTACTATATTCGGACCAAAATCGGTCTGAAAAATGAAAAGTATGGAAGCTTCTGGATTCTTTGCATATATTCAGACCAAATCCGGTCCGTATATATGTTCATACTTAATTTAATTTAGCTTTAGGATTGAAAATCCCTCGGAGTGCCTATATTCGGACGATATCGGTCCATATAACTTTATACGGACCGGTATCAGTCCGAATATACACCTGAGCAGCAACTTTTATTTTTTTTGTTATTTCGTGCTTGAGTTGTTCCACTCTCGTTTTAAACCGTAACATTCCGAATGTTTGCCAACCAAAGTGGTTAACCTTAAGAAAAAAAATGAATTTTATTTGCTTGTGACTCCAAAAGAGTATTACGTAACATTATCTCTAATAACCTTCAACTTATACGTTCGCGGTTTTGCAACGATATTACTCCGTACCATCGTAAGATAATTTCAGGTAGACAATCGATGGTTTTGTGGTTCAAAGGGATTGTAGAGTCGATGTAAATGCAATTAGTTTTCGCAGGAATGGATTGAGGACACGAGAAGATGGTAATGTCCTTAAATGAAAAGAATAAAAATGTGCACTGTGGATTTTCTCCCAACATATTCGGAGCAAAATCGGTCCGAATATGTTAATGTGATCTCTTGTAGGCTTTATTACATATATGGACCGAAATCAATCCGTAATTAATTTATGCGCCAAATTTTTACCATAAATTTGAGTATTTCTGATTGTGCGCTAATTTATTTATATTCAAACCAATTTCGATCCGAATATACTTAATGCGCCAAAAATTTTCCTGTGAGGCGTGCCAATAAGGATTAGACGAACCGAAAATGGTCCGTATAAGCCTTATATATATCACCACTTCTCTTCCTTTTCCTCATTTTCTCTTCTTCCTCTCTTTCGTTTCCTTTCTTCCTCTCTTTCTTTTCTCTTCTGCCTCTCGTCTCCTTCTTCTTTTTCTTACTTCTTTTTTTTTCTACTTCCTTTTCTTTGTCATTTCCTTTCTTCTTTTCTCTCTTCCCTTTTCTTTCTCATTTCCTTCTATTTCCTTTTCTTTCCTCTCTTTTTTCTCTCCACTTCTTCATCTTTTCTTTCC